TTTTGCCTTTGTTATTGCGCTTTTATCTCTATTATTTATTATTTTATGACATCAATATTGTGTCATTGCTGTTATTATTATTATTCTATTGATTAGCATAGCGTTGATTTTGATAATTGATCAGAATTATCACGATCACTGCTGTGATACAGTTTTACTTCATGTTCGTCCACGTGTGATACACGTCACGATGCTGATAATCCGGTTTCATTTGCGTCATGAGAATTTCATTTGATGTTAGTATCATATGATGTACAGTCACTAATAGTATCATTATTATGGTTCCTTGATTGATTCTTGTTATTTTCATTTTTGTGATATCGTTTTGTCATATTCATTTCTGGTAATACGCTATTCACCAGTTATTTACCAACTTGTTAGCCAGTGAGCAGTTGATATGCTATTGAACTCTCAAAACATACTGATACCGTTATCAGTTCCGTTAGGAGAGCCTTCTTTATGAGCGATTTTTTATCAGTCGATAAGAGGATTGACAATATTTCACAGTATTCAAAACAATTCATCGATTCTCGCTCTGATCATATTGTTTTGTATTGAACTGCTTATTGTCAGTTTTGTAAAAGGATTATTTTAAAATGTTTAACGTTATAGCGAGGATCCTTACCCAACCTTACATTGTATTCATTTATTCTTCAGTATCATTGTTTTACCACTCACAGTTATCATTATTAAATGCCTCTATAAAGTTCGAACCAGAGTGCATTATGAATGTAAATCATCGCTAATGTTATCAGTTATGAGGAAATTACGTTTTCGTTTGTTTATCCTTATTCCTTACCGTTGTTATCATTGAGAATCAATTTCGTTGGTCTATCCTAATGAATACTATTAAGAGTAATTCATTTCGAGAGTATTTATTATGTTCTTGTATTATCTACATATGTGATATATACTTACAAGAACTTCTTGTTGAATTTTCAATGATTAATTTGAGTCGAAAATATTTTGAAGATATTTTTCCAAGGGTGTTTTACAGCAGAAATATTCTGAGGAAAACACAATAATTATAATGTATTATAATAGTGATGACATCTTATTTAAATACTATATCATAGGGTATAAACGACGAATTTTTGGAACAACACAAGTATAATTCAATAAATTTGGCGAAAATGGCACTTTTTGATGGCAAATCATTATTGCCGATATCATTATCATTGTTATCAGCGGCGCTATTATTATCACTGATATGCAATACGGATGCGAGAGTTGCGGATACATCGTTGAAGTCGGTAGGTGCTCAGAATGGGAATGGAGCATCTGAACCGAAATGTGAATTCATGCAAGGAGAAACGGCTAACTGTGAAGCGTGTATCTTTAAGGGACCTGTACGTGCGATTCAGTTGTTTTTGATTTTGATTTGATCGCGATTTTGATGAGATTTTAAATAGATTCTAAATTCGATCTTGGTTTGATTTTGATTTCGTGATTGGGTTCATTCCGATGACTTGGTTGCTCAAATTTATTCATTTCCGTATTGAATGGATTCAAGCAATGCTTTTTAGTCACTCAAAATCTCGTGTTTCTTCCATTTTCGTGAATGAATTGAAAAAAATTCTACAGCTGAACCGTTTTCAGTTTCCAGCTGATCACCTCAACCGTTCCTAAGTTCATTCGGACTTGGAATCGCCATTTAACTAGATAGATTCGGTATTATTTGAGTGTTCATCAT